TATTGTATTTGACATCAACCAATTTCTTTTAAAGATGGCCAAAAAAAAAAAAAAAAAAGGTATCTTTAAAAGCTGCGTGTATTCCTGGTGAATAATTAATTTTTGTAATAGACAAATAATAAGTTAGTGAGTTAATGCTTAAATATTGTGTATTTAGTCAAAACTTAATTAATTTAGTAGTAATATCTTTTTGTTAAAAATAAAAAATTTTAAATTTAAATCATATGTTATATGAGTAAAATGAAATAAAAAATAAAAAAAAATTATTTTTTATTGTGTAACTAATATAAAATTATGTGTCTAAATTATGGTTAAACCTCGCTAATACTGTTGTGTTAGGTTAGAATTTAATTTAGTGAGTTGTTAGCTTGTCTTTTTTCTTTAGTGTCTAGTCAATTCGATGATCAGATGGTCTTCGTCAAATTGTAATAAGACACGAATTTCTCGTAAACTAACTTGGCGGGAATTAAGTGCCGGCAAATGCAGAGGAAAAGTGACTCATGATACTGTCACTTCCTCGTCTCACAATCCCTGTCTTTCTTACTACAAAACTTTTATCTCAATTACCAACGAGAGGTTGGATCAAGTGATAAACGATTTGTTTTAGTTTAAGTAAGGTTTCGAGTTTGAGGTCTTGTGCACGCAGCAGTTTTCGCTGGGAGACTCACCCACCATTTTCATGTGCGCGACGCGAGTTGAATCCGAAATAGTCGGGACGACTCCCCGGGTACCGGACAAAAAACAAAAAAAAAAACAAAACTTTTATCTCAATTCAAAATTTTATTTTATTTTACATCTGAAAGATATATTAATTTTTTTCTGAAATATTAATTATATATATATTTTTTCTTTTTTTAAAAAAAAAAAATTGATAGAGTATTTTCAAATCAAATTTAAATAATTCCTTTTGTATAATTTTAAAAACATATATAATGCATTTAATAAAATTTAAACCAAATTTATGACACAATCCGTACTTACGAACTCAACATTTGAGTTCCTTTGGCCTTCTAGTTAAACTTCACATTTAATAGTCCACCCTCATTGGATATTGTGGGACACCGCGGGTATATGACATAATATGGTGAAGTCTCCACGTAGTGGTTTATGTAGGTGGGTGCAGCAATTGCCAGCCAACCTCACCCATTTATCTTGTCCGTGCAGTTTGGTGGGAAGAGACGTGTTTCTGATTAAACAAGTGGTTGAGCTAAGTGGTTTGTTGTCGCCTGAACTGAAGGATAGATTAAATAAAGATTGCTATTCATAAAAACAAGAAAAACAACCTTGTGCAGACAATCAACCATGATGTTGAGTGAGAAAATCCAATAACGAAGAAACTTGTGGGGTTAAATACAACCAATTGGTATGCATAATTTTCACACATGATTCTCAATCCCAGTTCAAGAAAAAATAAAATTACATGGTAAACACAGATGATGAGATAAGGATTGGCCTTTTCAAGCTCTGGTCTTAAATGGAATGGCTCTGATGACTATCTGGTGGTAAAGAGCTGCAAGTGCTGCACCGATGAAGGGTCCAACCCAGAAGATCCACTGAAATAAAAAATGGAATAAAATTTAAGCAAAGCATCAAATTGGATATGAGATAATGAACATGATTATAAAAGTTTCTATTTACTTACGTGGTCGTCCCAGGCATGGTCCTTGTTGTAGATAATGGCAGCTCCAAGGCTCCTGGCTGGGTTGATGCCTGTCCCAGTGATGGGGATGGTTGCTAAGTGAACCAGAAATACTGCAAAGCCAATAGGAAGTGGAGCCAATATCTGTATATATATGAAAAAAAAATGTGAATGAGAGTTCTTCAAATCAAGCTAAATGAAATTGTGATGTTAAAGGAACGTGTCTTGTAATTTACTTTGCATTTTAGTATACATTAATTTATGAGATGATACTTCAATTCCACATAACCTTCTATAAGAGTAGGATTAGGTATGAAGATGGTTATAATAACTGAACTCCAGGAAGAGAATTGTCCCAGCATGGGGACTGATGCCATACCGCACATGGTATGAGATAGAATAGCAATAGTTAACCAGTTTTACATGAAATTCATTAATCATATTCCCCAAATATTACTATATGGAAATCTGCTTGGATATCTTCATTGCAAGCTGTCAGTCTGTTTTTATTGAGTGTGCGTCTAGTCAATTCGACTTTAATGCAACAAGGACACAAGGACATTCATCCCTTACCCTCACCAGGCAGACAGACCAAAACTCTAGAAAAGATATGTTTTGCCGAAAACCAGCAAAACAAAACTAAATAGAGTTGGAAAGGATGACTAGTAAAACTTCCTTTTAGATCTACTCAAACTGAATCCTATAAGATTACTGAGCTTGCTTGATTAATCAGCAGCTTCTATTTGAATTACACATCATGGCTATATTTTGATACATACACTGACCAAAATATGTTAAACAACATGATTGTCACGCATCAAAACTTGTATAAAAATGCCATATACCAAAAGATGATAGAAAGCTAACTAAGCATTTTCACATATATTCTTGTTTCATACTTTAATGTTTGCATTTCTATATTAACCAACCTAACTCCTGTTCATTCAAAATCTTGACATCACTTTTGGTATCTTACAAGAGTGACACTACCAATACCAAGTTAATTAAATTCACGAAACAGATATTAACACCTTTTGAAATTTGAATGTGCATAATTTCCTTCTCTCCGGTATTAATCTATGAAGAATATGATCTGCAAGTTTATGTTGTGATCAAGCGAAATTATGGGTATGCCTATCTGACTCCTAAGTCCCAACTGATCTGGGAAGCAAGTATTCTCAACGACCATTGAGTGACAGAAAGACAGTACTTCAACATTCCCACGAAGATGGAGTTGGATAATTAAGGAAAGAACGGGAACGTGAAACACTTACAGGGACATGGGAGTCTCTGGCATTCCTCTTGGCATCAGTTGCAGAGAAAACAGTGTAGACAAGCACAAAGGTGCCAACAATCTCGGCACCAAGGCCATCGCCCTTGGTATAGCCATGGCTGACAACATTGGCTCCACCACCGAGCAGCTCATACTTTGATGGTTGGAATCCCTTCACAACCCCAGCACCACAGATTGCTCCAAGGCATTGCATTACCATGTAGAAAATGGCCCTGGTCAAGGACAGCTTCCTTGCCAGGAAGAGACCAAATGTCACAGCTGGGTTTATATGCCCACCTAGTCAAACAAATTACAAATACACATGGTAAGGTCAAGGCTTGCAATTAGCAAAAAAATTTCTCTAAAGAGCCAAATTAACAAGATTGCGAGGAAAACATTAACAATACCAAAACCTCCATCCATTTATCTCCCTTGAGCCTTTTTCACTTGATTTACCGGTATTAGGACTAAATAACAAAAAGTTGAATTTTTTTCTTTCTTTTTTTCTTAGCAAATAAGCCCAGGTTCAAGGGAAAGCAACAAAATTTAGGAATTAACAAGTTCCCAAAATTAATTCTTTTCTTCATGTTTGAAGTTCAGTAAAGGTGTCAAGAAAACCAAGTCAGATAAAAGGTGAAGTCTGCATAAGCAGAACTGACCTGAGATACCAGCAGTGCAGTAAACAAGGGCAAAGATCATGCCACCAAAAGCCCAAGCAATGCCCTGAATGCCCACAGTGGCACATTTGTTGTTTGCCCTGCTAACACCCATCACAGTCAACAGAGTGATGTAAAGGAACAGGAAAGTGGCAATGAACTCGGCAATTCCAGCCCTCCAAAAGGACCATGACTTGAGCTCCCCTGGCTCAAAGAGTGGAGCCGGCGGTGGCTCCTTGTAGTCCTTGTCCGTCTGCGCCGATGTCCCTATGGGTTGCCTCTCCGGGAACTTGTTAGCTCCCACCTTAACGTCCTCTTGCTTCCCTTCCATGGTTAATTTCCTTCTCCCTGAAAATGTGAGTGTTCCAGTGTTCCTAGTGTTTGTGACTTCGTGTTCTTCAGAGAAAGTGATGAGAGTGGAGTTATTTATGGAGGAAAGATGGTAACAAAGTAGTGTTTGTGTTCTAACTATGGACCGAAAAAGTTTGTCCGTCTTTCGAGACCGGGTGCCGGAACTGACACACTGACGGCCTTAAAAGACTCAAAGTTTTGTACTGAATGGTCTGGGTCCTCCGTGGACCGTGGTAGTGATGACTTATGACCACGCGAGAATTTACTCTTTTTCCCTTTTTTCACGATACTTTATGATACTTTATTAAAATCGCATCAATTTTATTTTATTTAATTAATATATATTTATAATTTTAATAATATTTTATGGTATAAATTATTTTAAATTATAAAAAATATATTTTTTAATTTTAAATTTAATTAATTTAAAATTAAATGAATTCTAATTAATTTAAAATATGTTGTATGAAATTATATAAAATAAAAAATTATCTTAAGTTCTATATTTATAAAATTTAAATTTAAAATTTTATTTAAAAATTTTAACTTTTTTTTACTCAAACCAATCATTTAATAATTTATCCTCACGCTGAACTACTCTTAAGTGGGGAAAACAATTGGACTCTTCAATATGCTTTCAAATTTGTCAATTCAATCCTTGTACTCTGTTTGAAGATTACGAGGGGCCAAACCATTTGTCTCATTCTAAATTAGGGGTCTGCTCGGGTAGTTAGAACATGATTTTTGAAAATTATTTTTCGTATTTTTTTAATATTTATTAATCACTTAAAAAATAAGCCAATAAAAAACAATTCCATTCAATAAAGAATATTTTGAAAAACAACTCCCCAATAATTTTTCGAGAACTTATTCTTTCGTTAATAAAAAACATGTAAATTTTTTGTCTGAATTGCTCGATTATTTTTTTTCATAAACAAAGACACCAACAAAAAAAACAATGAATTAA